CCTTGACAAGAAAGAGAAGAAAGTACCAGTTATTACCGCTTAAAGTGTTGCCAGTCCGCAGCGAGGAGTTTAGTAGGGACGTTGGAGTTGAATATCGTTCCCCTTGTAACGGGAATTGAACATACAGTATATAAGTACACTACATCCCCGAGGTCAAGTATTAGATCCGAGGAAGAAACAATCGAGAGGGAAAGACTGAGCCGTCAATATGCTGAAAAGTCGTACTCTGCCTACAACAATCCAGCGTCTTCATCCACCTTTCCGCGGACCAGTGCCGCCGCCATCTCCGACCGCGGTGTAATCGCGCACTTAAAGGGAAGGGGTGCGCTGAAAATGGACATCCATCATCGCACACATGTTTGAGTTATTTGGCTGAACATACCTTATCGACCCCGAGAGATACTCGTAGCTCGGCTCAATCACATTTCCCGCCTCATCAACCGCTTTGCGAATGTCGAACGCCGCAAGGATGTTGACGATTGTGATCCAAAGCGAGGAGTCGACCATGTGGCGGCCTGGGCAGAGTCTGCGTAGGGAGATAATGACAATAGGTACCAGTGCAAGTGGAGGTAGATATGGACATACCTGCGGCCGTAGCCGAAAGTCGCTAGGGGATCTCGGACGGCAGGATTAAGCTGTCCGTCGAGGAGGAAGCGCTCGGGTTTGAAGGCGAATGGCTCGGGGTATGTCGTCTGCGAAACAAGTTTTAACTCAGAACACAGAAGAGCGCTACACATACCTCGTCGTGCAGAATGCCCCTATACGGAAAAATGAACATAGCGATAGGAATCAGCTGAGTCGAGAACTAACCACGTATTCCCCATGACAATTGACCCAGCAGGGATCCTGTAGCCACGGTACTCGTCCTCCACATTCAACAAACGAGGAAGCGCTGCAGCGTGATCAATCCTCGAGTACAGAACATTATGTGTTTCGAAAGCAGAGACTCACCGAAGGGCGCAACGTTTTCCCATCGATGCACCTCTTTGACCAGCGCCGCGACGTAGGGCATCGCGTCGCGATGCTCGAACGTGGGGAGGCAGCCCCCGCCCGTGACGGCGTCGATCTCTGCCTGCGCGCGCTTCTGCGCTTCAGGATTCGCGAGCATCGAAAGCACAAACGTGGTCATTGCGGACACAGTCGTGTCCGCGCCACCGAAGAACATCGTTCCCGCGGTGGTCTTGACCTGCTGCTCGGTGTAGTACGCGTTGTTTTTGGACTCTGAGAGCACAGACAGGGACTCCGAAACGAAGGACGGGCGAGCCACGTCACTTTCCTGCCGGCGTATTTCCCAAAATCGAATGAATCAAGAGCGTAAGACGGCAAGGCGCACCATTTGGCGTTTCGTTTCGGCGAAGGGAAGTTCCAACATACCGCGGGACAATTTCTTCCACTCCGCTGCTTGCCTTTTGAACCCCGCGCCGGGAAACCAACTTGGCACATGTTTCAGTATCGGGAAAGTATTCTGTTGTAATCAAGTCCACTGCGTGAAATGGTCGTGTCCGTGAACTCACGACGAGATAACGCCCCGGGACGTTGGCAAGCGTGAAAGTATGCACCGCCTTCCGTGCCAGAGTGATGTACGGGTCTTCCGTGGGCAGAATATCTATTCCGTACGCAACGGACATGATAAGCTCTCCCGCATTTCTAATCCTGAGCTTGAGCAGCTGAATGTATGTGCCACGGAATTGAAAACGCACTGCCTGAAATGGTCGATGAAATCATCGGGGGTTTGAAGCAGGCGCTTCAGGAGTGTGCGGGTAACTGCCTCCTCTTGTGGCTCATATTTCTGCGAGGCCTTGACGGTGAATGCTTCATTGAAGAGTCGGCGATGGGTCCGCCTGGAAATTTTGAAATTCAGACCAGATAAACCTGATTCCGCCACGTACCATTCGTCACCTTTGTATGGCACGATGTTTCGTTAGTGCGGAAATTGGATAAGAAGACTCCGTATACCGTATTTCATCAACGCTGGGAATAGATGAATACGTCTACAGTAGCGGGAAGGGGCGCCACGTACAGAAGTTGAAGTCCCAACCCATCAGATCCATGACCATGGGAAGGTGCATCCTGAGAAGCATTATCGTACGGTAACTTGATTTATGAAACCAAATGGAAAACGACGCACCGATCCGAGTAGATTGCAGCCCGCTTATCGAGCAGCGCATCCGTCGCCTCCACCGAGGACAGTACAATCAGCGGCGTCCCTGCGAGATCGAGGTAGATAATGTCGGAATCTTCCCGCCCGTGAATTTCAGAGTCCCGCGAAGCGCTGGAATGGTGAGCATCACGCACCATACTGGGCACTCCATTTCTTGTACGCTTTCCATTGGAAAGTGGCCGGGACGTCGAAAAGGTTCCCGACAAGAGGAAGCTTTCGCGGGCCAGGAGGAAGGGGCAATTTGGACCGGCTTTGGCGAGAATGGTATCGATAAGCGAGGAGGCTGAAAACAATGGTCGCACAGAGCGTCCCGCTCTTGAGGTCGAGGGATGGCATGACGGAGTCGAGATAGTGGGAAGTGGGGCCATGGATTTAGAAGGACTGCTTAGTAGCCCTTTCGAGATCCGAGGGGAAACGGCGTCTACTTCCAACGCCGTTTGCTTTTGCTTCCCCATATCCTTCGAGACTGATCCGATTCAAACCAGAAGACGAGCTAAGACCGAATAAGGGCATGCACGATTCCGAGATTATGTTGGTTGGCTCGAGCGAGAGGATGTTCCCTTTGGCGACAGGCCGTTGGACTTTGAGGCGGGAGCTTCTGCCTGTACCAGACTTGGAATGGATATAATCCTACGAGATGTAACCCAAAGGCACACCATTTTCGGCCTAGTGTCGGTGAATAGCAACCTATACGGAGCTGGTCATAATCCCAGACTAAAGACACACCACTTTAAACCTAGCGGCGGTAAATCTTTTACCCTATAAGGAGGTGATTATAATCCTAGGACACGTTGAATGGTAGTTTAAGACAACCTATCTAGCCCTCCGAGAGCAATCCTGGTAGTCTGAACGGACAGACACTGAAAGCCCCCCCTCGAATGGAAAGGAATGGAGCCAGGGTCCACTTAAGACCGGGTACTAAAGGTTCTGCCCTATTCTGCCTTGAAGCTAGCGTGAACCTTGAAGGGATGGAGAAAACATGCTGGACGTCAAGGTGACAACAAGGTGACACCGGCGAATCGCGAATCATGATGGAAAACTGGAGCGTTCCGGGCCGGTCGGCCCATCTAAATCCATGAATGGCAAAGTGTTCCTTGTTCCTTGAATGTTCTGCCCGAGGACTTCGGCTTCGCATCTATCGCCGAATCCGCGGGCGCACGGAGGATTGCGACTGCGCTAGTCTGGGTTTTCTGCGTGGTAAATTTATTTGACGAAGTGAAAACATACTTATCGATTTCTTCTTCAACTAGGAAGTTGAACCGTTTGTACTTCCAATTTGAAGCATCGTTATTCCAAAGGGAGGCCTAAGATGAGATCGAGAAACATCATCTATAAAGAAGTGCGACGATATATTATATTTTACATGGTCTGCTTCAACGTAGGGCTCAGGGTACATGGCTATGAAAATGCTGTGTTTTCGACGTCCGAGTCGGCTTGTGACCGTAACGAAGTGTATGGTAGCACCACAGGGAGCCTTATTTTACCTGGACAGAGTCAGATCTAGGCACAAACAACTGGATCCAAGACAAATTAAGGTACGCGCCAGGTGGGTCTTTCGTGAGAACTTGAGCAGTGAGCTAGCATTGGCTCATTTCAAATTATTGGCTGTTGATGTCCAGTGCATAGAAAACTCTCTTGTAATTTTCTGTTTTTCTTCCCTGAATTTCACAAGTCCGAAAACTGAAAAGTAGCGCAATTGTCGCCGCCGACCGTAAAATAGCGGGATCAGAATCTGTGGCTAAAAGTAGGGCGATCACAAATTACGGCAATGGAGGTAGCGGGATTTCGGACCGGCCAAATAGAGGTAGCGGAATCTCAATTGCCTCAAACAAGGGGAGGGGAAATTCCCGGGTTTTCTGCTCCCTCTGGTCTGCCTTGGAGTGCAATAAGTAGCGCAAAAAGTAATCTTTTGGTGAAAAAGGTAGCGCAAAAGGGAAAAACACATGAAAACAGAGCGGATTATTAAAAGTGCGTTCTGAACGCCATAGTTACCGATGTCGCATAAATCAAACCCGGGAAAACTTTCAGATTCTCGAACTTTTACTTTTGCTAAAAATTAGAATGCTTCCAAACTGCAGTGGTAGGTAGTATACAACCCATTGTTGGTTTTACTAACAGAAATCTAACTCATTTTGACCAGACTCGAGACAGAGGGGGAATTGATGTTGAATTCATGACATCTGATGTCCTAATGTCGAAGTCTGCGGCACCCAGAGTCTGTGGGAGAGCCGACACAGCGACGCCAAGTGCGAAGAGTGTTGCGTGACTTGTAGAGGTAAACATGACGGTTGAGGGCATGCGGAGGAAATGACCACCACAAGCCCGTCACTATGAGCGTTGGGCGCTTCGCTGGTTGGGGCCATGAAGAATCGGCGCTGACGCGCAGTGAACTACTAATCGACAGTTTCCATGGAGTTACTATTGTATGGGGAGGGCCGAGTCATTGTTAACGACTTGGTGTACTAGCCTCGGTGTTGGTTGGCACAAATCAGGATGCATAGCAACAGGCGGTGCTCGATTGCTTTGACTGCCGTCCGCGACCCTACGGGCCGACTACAGTACGCAGTTCCAAATGTTCATAGACTTAACGAACATTGAGGTAGCCGAACTGAACCTCGGTAGGGAGCCTGAGATGAGGAGAACAGCTACAATAGTAGTTGATCGTAGATCTACTGAGTCCACCGACTACTTATCCGATACTTTCAGAAACTTACAACTGACTTGCGCAACATGTGTGAATAAATGGGAAGTCAGACGCGCAGAAGTGTTCCGTTTTTAGATTAAGCTTTGTTGCCAGCGAATTACGATAGTCAAAGCTATATATGGGCATCACTTCATCGGCCGTGTGGCAAAATGGTTACTGCGTTGCTTTCCGATTTGTTGTTGACTCAGGTCTTGAACATGGATAGGCAGAGATTGTGGGTTCGATCCCCACCATGGTCGAAAAATTCTTTGCTTCTGGCATGGGAGTATTTTTTTGCAGTCGCTTCCGTGGGAGTATTTGTGCCGGCCGTTCCGTCCCATTATTTCTTTGCTTTCTCTTTCTTCAAACTGCAATCTCCTTCGGACGAATTCCAATGTATTTGGCAATCGGAAATAGCCCACGGAACAACACTTAGTTTCCTCCGCTCCATGCCTAGTTATAAGACAAAAGGATCAATAAGCTGGTGATTTTCCTGGACCCTGTGCGATCTGTTGGTCACGTATTGACTCTCCTGCTGAGGCCTGATCCTTATTCGAACCTACAATTAAAAACCGTGAATTTGCGTATGTCTCAAGAGTTTTCGGACTCCATCCGACTTGTATTGAATCACATGCTACCGTCAACAACTTTCGAAGCCTAGATTACATTGTGTAGGGCTCTTGGTTGAAACAAACGCATTCAAGGGAAGACACGAGGGCACTGAGGGGGCATTGGAATATTTGATGAGTTGCGACATCTATATGCCGTGGGTGGAACAGAATGGTTCTACCGGCCACAGAATCTGATTGGAGGGTGAGGTTGAGGTTGGTTTTAGCGATCTAACACAACGGCAACATATAGCCCCACCCGCCGCGCATCCGGATCTGCCAATGTTGCATGTTGCATCCCCCTGACCAGGTCAACGTTCAACCGGGCTGGGCTACCCGTGGGTTCCACGTTCCATTCAGAGCCAGTGCGCTCCGTTATTTTGCCCGAGCTTCGACGGGTGACTTTTAAATGAATATATGACATCGATAACGGTCCCAACGTCAGAGCAGGCCTTCAGTGGAGAAGTAGGTGTCCTAATGCCGTGGATGCCGCCATCGCGATGTGATGGGATCATTGGTCGTCACGACGGTTACATCTCTCCTCTATGCCACACCCGTCATTAGATCTCAGGAATCTCTCGAAACTCCCGGCCAATTTGCGAGTAAGCGTCAGATTCAGGCAATTTCTGCAAAATTCTCAACCTTGTTGTCAAGACCATCGCTCTGAGCGCCTTAGAAGACCCCCAGGCGCAGGACGCTCAAATTGCCCTGTCTCACATCCAGGGCTACATCGTGGCCGGCGACCACATGTCTGTTCCTCCGAATGCATTCTTACCAGTTATATATGACTTGCTGAAGGCTCCTGATTCTCGCCATGACCTCCCACCTGACACGGAGTTGGAAACTTACCTGCCAATGCACCCACGCACAATGGCGGCCATGTCAACGTTGGACCACTTAGCGCAATCCTCCTCGATTCCCAAAAAACTGCTGCCAGATATTTGGCGCCGTCTCTGGCCCCGTATCCAGTTTCAAAATCGATACATTCCGCAGCTTTGCGACGACATCAAGGATGAAGCCGCGATTTCTACACTTCACCTCTCTCTCATTCGCCATCTCGCGTTTCTGAACAGCAATCAACACCCCCACGCGGACATTGACAGCACTCCTGGAGTACGCGGTCTCCTCATACGCATCTGGTCGCGGGGTTCTGAGCACCTCGGCGCGGCTGCCGACATCTTAGCCGATCTTCTCAACGACTTCATGCCAGTGACTGACCACGTCCCTGATTATGCGGAGATAATCGCGGGGGCTGGTGGCACCCCACACGACCTCGCTTCCCTCACCGTCAAGCACATCGATAACCTGACCAAAACTCTCCGGGATAACCCTGTGGGTACAAAGGGCCGGATCGAGGCCGCGGATTGGCTGCTGGAGGTCATCCTCGTGAAAAATGACCTTGAGGTCTTCGCCCTTCACGGACTGGTCGCCTCGATAATGAGATGCGCCCTCTCGCTCAACGCACGTCGCCCAGACCGGGCGATCACGGTCACCTACTTCAAATGCATCTACTTGATTCGAGGGCTCTTCGGTGTCCCGCCCGGACTTCCGTGTCTTCTGGAGGGCCTCACGTGGAGTCTTCTGGCCGTCATCATAGACTGCGGGATGGATGGCCTGCCCAAGAATCACCCGGTATTCGCTCCTATAACGGAGATACTCAGCATCATCTGCTCGCAGCTCGTCATGCGTTCCGTCCTGAACCGCGTGGAACCCATCCTACAGAAACTCAGGCCATCCGATATGGCTATTCTCCGCGAATCCGCGGAGTTCTGGGCCTCCTGGTCGCATTTAACCCAGCTGGCTACGGAACGCCTCCAGATGAAGGCGAGGTTCGAGCAGGAATATGATTCGAGACGGTTTTGCGATAACATCAAGGTTCGTTTCTTCGTCGGTGATGAGCATGATATATAATCCTGACGAGAATTCAGTGTGGCCGGGTGGCGCTCAAGACGGAACTGCGTCGATGCAGCCAGTGTATGGGGCGCTTTTATTGCTCTACAACATGCCAGAGCGTCGATTGGAAGCCCGAATATCACGCCGGAGAGCACTATTCCGTGTGCAGACATCCAGTGATGCGTAGTTATAGTAATTCTCTCCCTGGCATGGGTTACTTACACAGCTGACATTTCGTGGCCAGAGGACAACTTCTCCACCCGAAGCAGAGCATTCTTGCGTTTCCTGATGCACCACGATTACCTCGCCCAAAAGCAGCGTATACTCCAGCTCCAATTAGAATTCATGCGGCAGACCAAGGACGATCCGATAACGTTCTACACCGAATTCGACTACACCAAAGGCGAGGTCGAATTGGCCGTGCACCCTGCGTATGATATGATCGACATATGCAGGAATTCTGGTGATACTCGCTTGTGGCTGGACCACTGTGAACGGAGGGTTCGTGATCCGGGACGGATTCAGCTGCATGTAGCGGTGACAGCGGAGGGCGACAAGAAGAAGTACGCGGTGTTCCCTCTGCGCTCGGATAGCCCCAAGATCCGCGACGCGCTGGTCGATTTGGTGGGGCGGTACGATGCGCTCACTGTGAAGGAGCGCGATAGACATCTGCGCTCGATCGCTGAAGTACAGGTGTTGGAGCTCCATTGACGGCTTGTAGTTTTTGGATGTGATGCAGAATTTAATTGGGTAATAACCATTTAAACAACAGACCAATGGCAAGGATCAGACTTGTCAATTAAAATTGGTACTCAGCGGAGGGACGTCCACTTCCAAACGGTTTACAATGGCTGGCCGGCAATCCAACGATTTGCCATTTCCAACGACTGTTTCGGCTTGTTAAAGGGAACCTGGATGGATCGTTGACAGCTGCGTTGTGGAAATATATCAACCTACCATACTTAGAGACCTCTGCACCTATGAGGGTCTGCACGTCTGTTTGATTGAGGTACTTGATGATTTCACTACGAAGGATTAATGGCAACTTGGGAAAGGGGCATCCCGCTCACTCAATTTCATTATAGCACAGTCCTGAATCGCCAAGGCATTTTTGGGATAGATCGTAGTTGTTGAGGCCTATGGTTGGATGATAAGTTGATCAAAAAATGGTGGCGTTAAGCATTAATATGCATCCATATCGCTGTAGGGATCTCCGATGGAGGACATGCAGAAGACAGCAGCCGCTTCGCAGTCGATGAGGTCGAACTGGTCCTGGCATGACTCTTTCATCCATTTCTTGCATCGTGGGAGCTGCAGGAGTTCAAGTATTGATGTAAATCCCTGTCAACACAACGTCTTACCTTGACTTTCATTTGAACGCAAGTGCTACAGTGGCGTGAGTCAACTCTTCAACCCCTGGGACTGCACGTACTGGATATCCTGAACGGGAGGGAGTGAAGCCGAGGTGCATTGGATTTCATACCTGACAACAAATATGATTGGAAAACGATCTTAATCCATGGATCTGAGCCTACCAAGCCGGAATCATCGTCGGTACATCTGTCAGTCCATTCCCGGGTAGGTGTTATTCGTACATCAGTGGGACCTCCGTAAAAGACAGCATACCTATCATGACCGATGTCAGATTAATGGGTGGAAGGCCAGCCTCGATTAGGAGCGGGTTTTGTTCGTAAATCGCGGCCGCAAAGACCGGGAGATATCTGCCCTGCAAACCGTTTCAGATTCCCACCGTAAATTGCACGATGGTAGCACATACCTCGTACGTCTCCGGCCATATGGAATCCACGGCCTTGAAACTTGGTGAAATGCGCGAAGAAAATGGCGACAAAGGCGGCCACGTCCTTGGCCGCCTCCTCTGTGGTACTCTACGAGCAACCTTAGCATTTCAACACCAGTGTTAATATCGCATACGCACCACGTACTCCCCATAGTCGGCATAGCTGAAACCAACACCGATAGGTTGATCGATGAAGAATATGTTGGCATTGGAGTTCCACGATTCTGGATGGAACACTGTTCCATCGGTTGCATTCACAACTCGACAAGGACCTGGTGAGTTGTTGGTATCAAAGGGAGTCGAGTAAAATCTCCTGCGAACCTAGTTCCATGAATAAACCGATGGCAGACGAGCACCCGGGGCCTGAAGTAGGTCAGAATCCAGAATCTATAGGGCCAAAGGCCTTGCTAACCTCCGTTGGTCCAGAATATCACGTCGTCCTTGTCGGGATTGCTTCTACTTTCAAAGAAGTAGAAGAATAGATGGCGGGCCTGTATGTCGATGTATCCGGTGTACACGCTATACTCTCTAGTTAGTTCGTTCGTTTAGTCAGGCGCATTGCCATGTTGTTTCTCACTTCACGCTTTCGTCGCAAAAGTTACTTTTCTTGATTCTCAAACCATACTTGGGGAATTCAGGGTGTGCAAGCGAGGTGAAAGATGTCTCGGAGAGGATATCGAGTGTGCCTGCTGGCTTAAACACATGTGATCCATCGTGTTCGACAGCACTGAAGACCGTCTGAGGGGCATCGGCGCTGCACAATACACCAAGAAGGGATACGATGAGGACAATGGCGATTCGAAGAGACATGGCCGAAAGAAAGCTCCACTGGCTGCGGCGTGCAGTCCAACTGCTGATAAAGATTGGTCGAAGGTGAGAGAGTGGAAAGACGCTGAGAATTCCGGAGCGATGTCTCTTCTCGACAATGACGGCATTCCGATGCCGCCGGATTTTTTGAACA